TATTTTAATATTTAGATCTATAATCCATTTTGGTTTTAATTTACTGCATGGTGAGAGATATAGGTTTCATTTTCATCTTTGGCAAGTTGAAACCCAATTTTTCCAGCAACATTTATTAAACAGGTGATCTTTCCTCCAGTGAGGATGTTTGGCTCCTTTTTCGAACATGAGATGGCTGAGGGTGTCTGGCATTGATTCTGCATCTTCTAATCTGTTAAAGTCGTCCTCAGGTCTGTTTTTTGCCAGTACCATGCTGTTTTTATCATAGTAGCTTTGTAGTATAGTTTCAAGATGGGGATTGTGATACCCCCTGCCATGCCTCTGTTACCTAGAATTGTTTTTGCAATTCTGAGTTTCTTTCCATTTCAAATAAATTTTGGGAATGTTTTCTCAAGGTCTGTGAAATATGCTGCTGGGATTTCAATTGGAATTGCATTGACTCTATATAGCAAGTTTGGAAGTATGGTCATTCTCATTATATTGATCCTTCCTACCCAGAAGCAGGGGATGTCTCTCCATTTTCTCAAATCGTTTCAAGCTCTGTTTTCGGAGTGCTATAGTTTTCAGAAAAGAGGTCCTTGATTTCTTTCATTAGGTTGATTCCTAGGTATTTCAGTTTTTTGGATGCTATTGTGAAAGGAATTATTTGCCCTATTTCTCTCTCGTTGACTCTGTCATTTGTGTAGAGGAAAGCTATTGATTTTTGTGTGTTGACCTTGTAACCAGCTACTTGACTGAATTTGGTTATTAAGTCTAGAAGACTTTTGGTGGAGTTCTTGAAGCCATCTCTATACAGTATCATGTCATCTGCAAATAATGACAATTAGACTTCTTCATTTCCTATCTTTATTCCTTTTATTTCTTTCTCTTGTCTAATTGCTGTGACTAATGTTTCCAAAATTATATTGAACAAGAGTGGTGATAGTGGACATCCTTGTCTTGTTCCTCATTGTAGTGTGAAGGATTTCAGTTTTTGACCCTTTAGCAAGTTATCAGCTGTTGGTTTTTCATAGATGGCTCTTATAAGTTTAAGGCAGAGAACATCTATTCCAATTTTTTAGGGTTTTTATCATAAATGCATGTTGGATTTTGTCAAATGCTTTCTCTGCATCTATGGTGATAATCATATGGTTTTTATCCTTGGCTCTGTTGATATAGTGCATTACATTGATTGATTTGCATATGGTGAACCATCCCTGCATAACTGGGATGAATCACACTTGATCAGGGTGCATGATCTTCTTGATGACCTTCTGCATTCTGTTTGCCAGTATCTTATTAAGGATTTTTGCATCTATGTTCATTAGTAAGATTGGCCTATATTTCTCCTTTTGGGTTGGGTCTTTCTCTGCTTTGAGGATCAAGGTGGTACCTGCTTCCAGGAATGAAGTTGAGGGTATTGCTTTTCTTTCAATTTCATTGAAGAGTTTAAACAGTAATGGCAGTAGTTCCTCTCTAAATGTCTTGTAGAATTCAGCAGTGAAGCCATCAGAGCCCGGGCTTTTCTTACTTGATAAGTTTTTATTATGTTTACAATTTCATTGGTTGATACTGAGTTGTTTAGAACTTTTAGGTCTTCTTCATTCAACCTTGGTAATTCATATGTATCTAGGAATCCGTCCATTTCTTCTGTGCTTTCCATCTTATTGGCATATAGGTTCTTGAAGTAGGTATTGATGATCCTCTGGATTTCTGCTGGGTGTGTTGTAATTTCACACTTTTCATTCCTAATTGCATGGATTTGGGCCTTTTCTTTCCTTTTTCTGATAACGCTGCCTAAGGGTTTGTCAATTTTGTTGATTCTTTCAAAGAACCAACTCTTG